TAATTGGAGAGAAGAGACTCGTAGACTTTCTTGCCTGGGTTGGCTTCAAACTGTGATCCTCAGAGCTCAGCCTCCTGAGTGGCAAGGATTACCGGTGTGAACCACCAGTGCCTGGCTTTTTTTTTTTTTTTTTTTTAAATGCTGGTACTGGGACTTTAACTCAGGGCCTCACTCTGTTGGCTTTTTCACTCAAGACTGGCACTCTACCACTTGAGCCACAGCTCCATTTGTGGCCTTTCGGTGATTAATTAGAGATAAGTCTCAAGTACTTTCTTACCTGGTCTGGCTTCAAACCATGATCCTCAGTTCTCATCTGTTTAGGATTACAAATGTGAGCCACTTGGCACCTGCTTAGAAACTTTTACATTTTTTTTTTTTTTTTACTTTCAAATATTTTTTACACATATTGAAATGTTTCTCACCAAACTAAATTACTCTTTGAGACCATGTAGAACTGTGTCTTATTCTCCATGTTTCAATTAGGAAGAGATGATGATCTAGCAGCTTGTGGTTTTTATGCTATGATACCTAGGTTTATTTAGTGTTTGTAAAATGCAACTCATGTTACTAAGTGAAAATGCATATTATTTCTTTGAAACATGAATGCTTGCTGGCTTTTTCTGAAGAGAAATAGAATCTTGAACATATGATGCATATATAGATATACATATATTTGACATGTGTCCATATATAAATGTACATTTGTATATGTGTATACAGTTGTTGTTAAGCACACTTAATAGATATTAAAGCTTAAAACTAGTCAGTGTCTGTGGCCCTGGTAGCATGCTGACCCTCACAGATGTGTTTGTGGCTTTGATGGAATTTCCCAGGTTTGTCAGAAGAAGCAGAAATCTCCGTTGCTGTCCATGGGGTGTGCTGATGGGCCACTCGCTGTGGTCAGCTTCAGCTGGTTGTTATGTAGGGAGAGCACCTGCCATTTTAAGTCTTCACAGGTTTCCATGATGACCTGCACTTTCCTTCACCTGTGGGGGTTTTCATGGGGCTGGCCTGGGAGAAATGACATCAGGGTACTGGCATGGTAAAGATGGAGAGTGGGAAGAGGAGGAAGTCCTCCCCACTGGTGTTAAATTTGGCATTTCCAAATGTGGGAGTCTAGAGGCAGGCATTTGGCCTATGATGCACAGGGTCCTTAGATACTCATTGTCAAAATTCCTGTTAAAATCCTGCAGTAGGGCTGGGAAGGTGGCTCAGTGCTTGCCTTGCAAGCATGAGGCCCTGGGTTCGATTCCTCAGCACCCCAAAAGCAGAAAAAGCCAAAAGTGGCACTGTGGCTCAAGTGGTAGAGCATTTAGCCTTGAGTTGAAGAGCTGAAGAGCTGAGGGACAGTGCCCAGGCCCAGAGTTCAGGCCCCACGACTGACCCCCCCCCCCAAAAAAAAATTCTCTAGTAGCACATAGTGGGGGAAAATTCCCTCCTCTGCTCCATAAATTCAGGAAGTAACTGACCCAGAAACACCCACCATTTGATTCTATCAAGCAAAGAGCTGTTGGGGCTGGGCACAGTGGCTCGTGGCTGGAATCCCAGCACCTGGAAAGCTGCTGGGATTGAAAAGAAGATGGCCTCTTCCCAACTGAGCGGCCAGCTGTGGCGGATGCCGACGGTGAGGGAGAGGCAAAGGCGGTGAGGGAGAGGCAAAGGCGGTTGACTGGCTGCCCTCCCTTCACTTCGAGCTCTGGGTATTCATTAAGAAACTGCTGGGTCAGCCCTTGGCCGGGGGCTCAGGGCTTGCTGGGGAGGAAATAGACCTGTCCCCTGTCCTCGTGGGGCCGCCTGTCAAGCCTTCAATGTGGCAGTGTGGAAGTCTGTGATTGGGCATGGCTGCCAAGGCCGAAGGGCTGTGTGGGTGAGTGAGAAGCTGGGATGGGGCTGTGGGCTGTAAAGGACGGGCAGGTGCAAAGGCCGCAAATGCCCAGTTTGAGAAATCTCAACGAGAGTGTGAAAATCAGTAAGGGCACCATCTTGCCGCACCCAGGTAGAGTCTAGGACTTTACTCAAAGCATAGTATTTTCCTCTGGCTAACAGCAAAATTCCTAGCTCTAAATACGACACTCTGAAGGGTGGTTAGGGCTACACATTTTACATGTAGTAATTTACTTGCATCACGCCACGGTGGTATAGATTGTTAGTATAGATTGTTATCTAAGCAGGGCAGGAAATCCAGAGGCCCAGTGGAAACTTTGATAAATTTAACCTCATCAAGATGACCTTCTATGGAAAACACCAACACCAAACCCACAGTAAAAACGGGAGGAAAAAGCTAAGACAAATATTTGCCATGCTTACAACAAGGGGTGGATGAGCTTTTCGGTTATGCCAAGAGTTCCTACACGCTAATAAAGAAAAAAGAGAAAGGAAATGAGCATTGCTGCATTGACAACTCAGAAAGGGAAAATAAGCTGTTTGAGAACATGAAAGATGTCATTCTTACAAAGAAATGCACCTGAGTGCTACCATTTTCCATTGATCAGATAGACACAGATGATGAAATTTGATAATATGTGCAGTGTTGGCAAAAGTGAGGGACTTCACTTGCCATTTGTGTTTTCTTTTGAGGGCAGTTTGGCAATAAAATAAAAAGATTAAAATTTAGGGTCTGCAGGGACTAGTCCAGTGATTGAATGCGTACCTGGGATAGCTATTGCCTTTTTTTAAATTTTTTATTTATTTATTTTTTTAAATTTTTTTTTTTTGGGTCCGGTCGTGGGTCCTGAACTCTGGGCCTGGGCGCTGTCCCTCAGCTCTTCAGCTCAAGGCTAGCGCTCTACCACTTGAGCCACAGCGCCACTTCCGGCTTTTTTCTTTTTGCTTATGTGGTGCTGAGGAATCGAACCCAGGGCTTCAGGCATGCAAGGCAAGCGCTCTACCACTGAGCCAACTTCCCAGCCCATGGGATAGCTATTTCCCTGAGTTCCATCCCCATCCTTAACAAAGAATGTTTTAAAGTTAGGTGCGGGGCACATGCCTGTAGTCCTAGCACTTAGGAGCCCAAAGCAGGAGAATCACTTAAGATCAGGAGTTCAAGACCAACCTAGGTCTTGAATCTAATGAGACCCTAGCTCAAAAACAAGATATTGCCAGATCCTGATGGCTCACACTTATATCCTAGCTACTCAGAAGGCTGAGATCTGAGTATTCTGGTTTAAAGCCAGACTGGGCAGAAATACCTGTGAGACTCTGATCTCCAATTAACCATGGAAAAGCTGGAGTTAGAGCTGTGACTTAAGTGGAAAAGCCAACTCCCGAGTTCAAGCCCTAGCACAAAATAAAAACCAAACAACAACAAAAACAGCTCCCCCCCCACTCCTCCCAAAAAAGAAAACTCAGAAATGACATCTGTAATTGTCTGGGAGCAGATCCATGGTAGATGTGGGACCAGGCTGGGTTCTGTGTTTAAAGTGTGAGTGCTGACTACAATGTGTGGTTTACGAAGGCTGATAATGGGGTAGGCCTCGAGAGAGCACTACAGCTGGGATTTCTGCACTTGCCATAAGGAGGAGACAAAATCTTTCCCTTCAGTAACCCAGTAATTATAGCCTTAATGACACTTTTGAAATACTACAAGATATCCATCATTATAAATTAAAAATAATTAGGAACCTATTAGAATTAGGAACAGGATGTCCACCTGTTAAATCACCCAAGCAAGGGCTGGGAAGGTGGCTCAGTGGTAGAGCGCTTGCCTTGCATGCATGAGGCCCTGGGTTCAATTCCTCAGCACCACATAAGCAGAAAAAGCTGAAAGTGGCGATGTGGCTCGAGTGGTAGAGCGCTAGCCTTGAACTGAGAGACAGCGCCCAGGCCCAGAGTTCAGGTCCCACGTCTGACATAAATAAATAACCCAAGCAGCTGAGTAGGAAAAGAGACAAAAAGCAAAAAAAGTTGAAAACACACTGGCATCTATGAGATTAAACTTAAGCTGTCAGTAATAATGGGTTGAGAGCCGGGCTCTGGTGGCTCATGCCTGTAATCCTAGCTACTCAGGAGGCTGAGATCTGAGGAATGCAGTTTAAAGCCAGCCTGGGCAGGAAAGTCCGAGAGACTCTTATCTCCAATAAACCACTAGAAAACCTGAAGTGGCGCTGCGGCAGTGCCCAAGCCCAGAGTTCAAGCTGTATGACTGACCGCCCCCCCCCAAAAAAAAAAGGGAATGAGAATCCCAGCTTTTGACTTAGTCAGGTGGCATTCCCTCCCACCCCCCATTGTAGAGCTAGAACTTGGGGCCTGGGCTCTGTCCCTGGGCCTCTTTGTGCCCAAAGCTAGCACTCTACCTACCACTTGAGCCACAGTGCCACTTCTGGTTTTTGAGTGGTTAATTGGAGATGAGTCTCACAGGGACTTTCCTGCCTACACTGGCCTTAAATTGTGATCCTCAGATCTCAGCCTCTGGAGTAGCTAGGATTATAGGCATGAGCTACCTGCACTCAGCTCTATGAGACTCATCTCCATTAAATTACTCAGAAAAAGCTGGGAGTGGCTCAAGTGGTAGAGTGCTAACCTTGAGCTAAAGCAGCTGAGGAACAGAGCCCTGGCAGAGTTCAAGCCCCAGGACTGGCAAAAAAAAAAAAGAGAAATTGGAAAAGAATGGCAACAGATAAACAAACAGGTGACAGAGGATTTGGGTGATACCAACATTATCAGGCTAAGTAGGATTCAGGATAGAATGTTAACTGGGCTGGCAACATGGCTCAAGTGGTAAAGCACCTGCTTAATGAGCTTAAGGCCCTGAGTTCAATCCTAAGTACCGCAAGGTGTGTGTGTGTGTGTGCCTGATAAAAACTATTAAATAATTATTTGCTTGGGCTGAGGGCATTGCTCAAGTGGTAGAGCATTTGCCTAGCAAGGTTGAATTTTGAGTTCAGTCTCCAGTTTTACAAAAAAAAAAAGAAAAAAGAAAAAATGCTCTACTCAGGGTAGCTTAGCCATGATGAATGGAAAGCAGGAATCCTTTGCCTCCCATTGCATTTCTCCTTTTCCAGATGGTTTCACCCAAACATTACTGGCGTGGAGGCAGAAAATCTACTGTTGACCAGAGGAGTTGATGGCAGCTTTTTGGCAAGGCCCAGTAAAAGTAACCCTGGAGACTTCACGCTTTCCGTTAGGTAAGTTGGAAGGAGAAGAGACTCCTAAGCATTGGGAATTGAGGCCACACCTGGCCAGCTGTGGCCTGCCCCTCTGCAGAGGTGCCTTGCAGGACACTGACTGGCCCGTCACAGGTTCCTTGTGCCCGCTGCAGTGAGAGCCCCAGAAACTCAGCCGAACGGGTGCCAAGGTGCACATCCTTATGTCTGCGCAACTGCTGAGGATGCAGAAGGCAAAGCAAGGTTGCAGCCCAGCTCCACGCTTCTTGACCATGGCTTCTGCACTCTTCCTCTTCCCGCCATACATTTCTACCTGGGAAGGCCTCTCTGAGGGTTTCTTTAGATCACTTTCCTTTGTCAAGAAATAGAAAGTCAGTGAGGAAGTTGTGGTTCCTTTTGTTCTCCTGCTCATCTCTCCGGAGAGTAAACCACCATCCAGAGATTGGCATAGGTCCTTCCTGAGCATGTTTTCGTGCTGTGTTGGTACCAGGTGCGGACTAACCATGTAAGTACTTCAGTGATGACATGCAAACTTTGGCACCTTGACTTCCATGCCAGTGCTTCTTCATGGCTGTGTAGCAGTCTGCTGGTGGCCACACACAAGTTTACCTGCCCTCTTTCTCATGAACATCGGAGTGTTTTCAGTTTATTTAAAAACTTTCCATATTTACTTTCCTGGGTCTTGAACTCAGAGCCTGGGCCCTGCCCTGAGCTTCTTTTGCTCAAGGCTCAAGGCTAGCACCACCTGAGCCTCAGCACCGCTTCCAGCTTTTGCTATTTATGTGGTGATAAGGAATTGAACCCAGGGCTTCATGCATGCTGGGCAAGCATTCTACCACTAAGCCACATTCCCAGCTTGTCCCTGAGCTTTTGTACTCAAAGCTACTGCTCTATCACTTGAGCCACACCTCTACTTCTGGCTTAAAAAAAAATTTTTTTTTTTGTTATTTTAAGGGTGATGTACAGAGTAGTTACAGTTATACAAGCCAGGTAAAGAGTACATTTCTGTTTGGACAATGTCACTTCTCTTGCTTCCTCCTAATTTTTTCCTCCCTTCCCTATCCACACGTTATAAAGTTCCTTTTCCACATAGTGTCTGCCGAGTACCACTGCTGCATTTACTCACCCTTTGTCTTTCCATCACTTTTTTGGTAGCTAGTTGGAGATAAGAGTCTCATGGACCTTCCTGCCTAGGCTGGCTTCAAACCTTGATCCTCAGATCTCGGCCTCCTGAGTAGATAGGATTACAGGCGTGAGCACTGGCGCTAGGCTAGTGTGGCTCTTTTTTTTTTTTTTTCCCCAAATTTTTTATTGTGATTAAGTGGTTACATAATTTCTCAAATTTCACAGTATTGTGGGATGGTGATGCTTAAAGTCACAAACAAATTCTAACTTTCATGGAGCAAATTGTCTATCATGGTCTACAACATTTATGAGTTCTATGAGCTTTGCAATACAGTTATTTCTCCCACATTGGGTGGTATGTACATTTCTTTTGTTTTGCATAGCGTCAGCTGTTCCCTCTTTCCCACTTGTTCCCTCCCTCCCATCGCTGCCATTGAGTTGCTTAGTTCATTTTGGTCAATGGCCAGTGCAGCTGATGGGTCCCGTTGGTGTATGTTTTTCCCTGATTCCCTCTAGCTCTGTGTCATCCTCCTGGTTTCCCTCCAGTGTGCACACATGTGCACACTGTGATCAGCAGCATGGGGTTATCTAGTAGTGCTTTGACCAGATGAGTGGAAGTCCTTTGTTTCTTAAATCTGTTAATTTTGTCATATCACCTAACATTTTGGATTTAACATCCACTTATCAGGGAGACCATGTGCCGTTTGTCTCTTTGCACTTGGCTTACCTCCTCAACATGATTTCTTCTAGCTCCATTCATTTCCCTGCAAATGCCATTATTTTGTCCTTTCTAATGGCTGTATAATATTCCATTGTGTATGGATACCACAATTTTTGGATCCATTCATCTGTGGTGGGACATCTGGGTTGTTTCCATATCCTGGCTATTGTGAACAGTGCTGCAATAAACATGGAGGTGCATGTGTCCTTATACACTGGTTCCTGTTGTTCAGGATAGATGCCTAGAAGTGGTATGACTGGGTCATAAGGGCAATCAATAGTTAGCTTTCTGAGGACCCTCCAGACTGCTTTCCAAGTGGTTGTTTAAGTGTGCATTCGCACCAGCAGTGTAATAGGGTTCCTCTTTCTCCGCATCCCCTGCAGCATTTGTTGTTGGCGGACTTGAGGATGTGGGCCATTCTGACTGGGGTAAGGTGGTATCTCAGGGTTGTCTTTAGTGTGGCTTTTTATTACTTCTTCTTCCCATTTCTGATGGACTATTGTAGAAGAAATGGAGCTGTCACCCACATCAAGATTCAGAACACAGGGGACTACTATGACCTCTATGGAGGGGAGAAGTTTGCCACTCTGGCAGAGCTGGTCCAGTACTACATGGAACATCACGGGCAACTGAAAGAGAAGAATGGAGATGTGATCGAGCTCAAGTACCCGCTGAACTGTGCAGATCCTACCTCTGAACGGTCAGTACCTGTGAGTGACCACGTGGTCTGCAGCTCTCCTGGGCCATGTGTTATGCAGCTGTGTTGTGGGATCTGTGTGTGTGTGTGTGACTGTTTCCACAGTATTACAGGATGTAATACTGAGGCTTGAACTTAGGAACTAGTCCATGAACATTTTTGGTAGGTTAGCACTCTATGACTTGAGCCACAGCTCCACTTCTGACTTTTTGGTGGTTAATTGGAGATGAGAGTCTCTCAGACTTCCCTGTCTGGGTTGGCTTTGAGCCTTGTTCCTCAGATCTCAGCCTCCTAAGTAGCTAGGATTACAGGTGTGAGCCACTGGTGTCTGGAAAGGCATCCTTTTCTTGTGGGAGCTCCAGTCAGTGGAACTTATGGGCGTTCTCTGGGGACCTCGTACTATCCTACATACACTGCCTGTGCTGTACCTGCTGTAGTTTTAAGATTGATCCATCACTCGTGGGGCTTATGATAGAAAAGCATAATGATCAAGATTGCCAGAACGGCAGCAGTCTCTGCGGCTCCAGCCAGTTGTTCAGCCACGCCACCAGCAGATGTCAGCTTGAGTCTAGAAGTGGGAGAGCAGAGTGTGTAGAGGGGCAGCTTTCCCACCATCCCTCCAGTGTTACATCCATGCATGTGGGAGTGAGCCTGACTTCGCCTATGGGGAATTGTGTTATTTTAGAGATTTCCTTCAGCAGTTGACAGCTGGGTTTAGCTCACATGCACAATTGCATTGCTTTTTTTTTTTTTTTTTTTTTTCCTTCTGCATTCCCCTTTCTGACCCAGGATAAATTCTGGTCTGTATGTTTTGTGTCTGAGGTCCATTTTTCTGGCTCACATCATATGTCAGTGCTGTCATGTACTGATGACAATTTGTGTCTCCAGCTACTACTGTAGCTTCAGACAAAGGGCTCTCCGTGACTTGGCGTGATTTGCTTTTAGATTCGATTCCTTCAACTGAGCATGGATGAGGACAAATACAGTCTGTTCCTTTAGTGATCAGCCATTAGCATTGCTGCTATGATGAGCTTGCTTTCTTATGAGGAGCTTGAGGGGAAAAGCTCTAAATTAGTATGGCTGTCAAGATGGTTTCCATGTCACTTAGAGCAGTACCATCTCAAGTCTGTCCTTGGATGACTTTGGATGGCCTTTATCTGGGCTCTGGCATGATGGTTTAAAATACAGATTCTATGGGCTCCATTCAGACTTAAATGTCATCTCTGCTTGGGGGCATAGGAATGCATACTCACAGTAAAATCCTTCACCACTACCCCAAGTTTTATGTGCATTAAAGATTGAGATGACAACTCAGTAAGTACTCAAGACATGGACAGCAAATTGGAGGCTGGTAAAGTAAGTGTAGATAGGAAATCAGGGAAAAATGTGAAACGCTTGTGTTAATTTGTTAAGAAGATTCTTTTTTGTCTAGTGCCAAACCAAGACCAAATGTTTATTTTTTTTATGTATTTTTTATTTCTTTTATATATTTTTTGTTGTTTCTACCATGTATCTCCTCAGATCTCATCTTCCTGAGTAGCTAGGATTACAGGCATGAGCTACTGCTGCCTGGCTCATTTTTGTTTGTAAAAATTTAGGTGGTTTCATGGTCACCTCTCTGGAAAAGAAGCTGAGAAACTGCTGACCGAGAAAGGAAAGCACGGCAGCTTCCTCGTACGGGAGAGCCAGAGCCACCCTGGAGATTTTGTTCTCTCTGTGCGCACCGGTGATGACAAGGGAGAGAGCAACGATGGCAAGTCTAAAGTGACCCATGTCATGATTCGCTGCCAGGTGAGCTGCCCCTGCTCAGGGAAGACAGAGCCGTGACATCCAAAGTCAGCTTCTTTGTTCATTCAGTCCAGACCTTCTATCCCTTCATTGTTTATCCCACTTGTTTCATCATTCTGAAACTGTTGCAGTTTTATTTTCAGTGTATTCTGGCAGATTAACTCAGACCTGAGTACATGAGTTAACCTCTGCCCTACAAGATCTGGTCTTAAGACCAAGCGATATCAAATAATACACACACACACACACACACACACACACACACACACACACCATCCTGTCACCTCTGCCCTACAAGATCTGGTCTTAAGACCAAGTGATATCAAATAATATTACACACACACACACACACACACACACACACAGACCAAGCGATATCAAATAATACACACACACACACACACACACACACACACCCATCCTGTCTTCATTGTTCCTCTGTTGTCACACACACACACACACACACACACACACACACACACACACACACACACACACACACACACACACACACACACACACACACACACACACACACACACACACACACACACACACCCATCCTGTCTTCATTGTTCCTCTGTTGTCGTTTCCATATACTGAAGACTGGGAATGGGGAAAACCAGCGATGTAACATAAAGATGACAAGCATCATCATTTTTGTCTTAAAAGGAGCTGAAATATGATGTTGGTGGAGGAGAACGGTTTGATTCTTTGACGGATCTGGTGGAGCATTACAAGAAGAATCCGATGGTGGAGACATTGGGCACAGTTCTACAACTCAAGCAGGTTGGAAAACTGAAGCTTCTATTCCCCCTCAGAGTTTAAAAATACGGATAGTTTCCATACATGCAGAATGTATCAGTCAGCTTTCTGCCTGTGACAGGACACCTGAAAGAATCTGTTTTATAAGGAGAGGGGGATTTTGGCTCACAGTTTCAGGGGCTTCGGTCTCTTAGCCCTGTCATTTTCGGCCTGTGCAGACACAGTCGTGGTAGGAGGAACCTGTTCACCTCTTGGTGGTAAAGAAGGCAGGAAGGGGCTGGCTTCCAATGACCTAACTTGCCTTCACCAGGCCCCATGTATGAAAGGCTACTCTGCCTCCCAGCAGCACCACAGGCTGCAGACCAACTGTTTGACACATAGGCCCCTGGACAATATTTAAGATCTGTACTATAATGGAGAAGGAGAGGAAGGAGTATCAGCTTCCACATATATTATCCATCTTCAGTTTGGACTCAGTTCTTCCCTCCCTCCCTTCCTGCCTCCCTCCCTCCCTTCCTTCCTTCCTTCTCTTTTTCTTTTTTCTTTTTTTGCCGGTCGTGGGGCTTGAACTCTGGGCCTAGGCAACGTCCCTCAGCTCTTCAGCTCAAGGCTAGTGCTCTAGAGCCACAGCACCACTTCCAGTTTTCTGATGGTTTATTGGTGATAAGAGTCTCATGGACTTTCTTGCCCAAGCTGGCTTTGAACTGTGATCCTCAGATCTTAGCCTCTTGAGTAGATAGGATTACAGGCATGAGCCACCCATGCCTGGCTTCTCTTTCTTTCTTCTTCTCCTCTTCTTCCTCCTTCACACAGGGTCATGTTATATAGCTCAGACTGGTCTGGAACTTGTGCTCATCTTACTTCTGTCTCCTAAGTGCTAGGGTTAAAGGTGTGTTGTGTGCTATGACACCTGGCTCCAAATGTTTCCTTATTACTCTACTTAGTGGATACCACTTGTAGTGTTTGGAAACACATTCTAGGTGTTATATTATTCCCATATATACCCATTTACATAAAAGGCCTTACAAAGTTGTGGGGTTTTTTTGGGGGGGTGGGGGAATGGGTTGAGGATTTAACTGAAGTCATTGCACATGCTAAGACTCCTCTAAAGGAGTTTTTCACAAGTCTTGGCCTACTCATTTAATTGTGTACTATGCTTACACTTAATTACCCTTGGCTCTTTGAGACAGGGTCCAGTATGTTGCTCAGACTTAACTTGAGTTTGCTCAAGCTTGTCTCATCCATCAACTTCTCTATTCTCCTGCTTCAGCACCCCAAGTGCTGGTATTACAGATGTGAATCACCACATCTAGCTAGATTTCTTTTTTCCAGTACTGGAACTCAGAGTCTCATACAATTGCTTGGCTTTTTCACTCAAAGCTGGTGCTCTGCCATTTGAGCTACACCTCTACTCCTGGGCTGGCTTGCAACCATGACCCTCAGATCTCAGCCTTCTAAGTAGCTAGAATTACAGGCATGAGCCACTGGTGCCTGTTATGGCTAGATTTTCTAAGGCAGCATTTTGCCAGATTTTCTTCAGAGATCTGCTCTTGGCTTCCTTTCATTGGTCACATTTGTTCTCTTTTGGAGTTGTTATCTCCAAGTTTTTGACAGTGTGTCATTTCTAAGTCATGTTGAGGTGAATTCAAACCCAGGTTTGAATTTGTAACAACAGGGTTAATTATTTGCTAAGATGGAAGAAAGATCCAGTTCCTGAGAGAAAAGAAGGTGAACCTGCCTTTGAACAACTATATTGTGCATTACTCTGTAGTATTTGTTACTACCAACAGAATTCTTTTGTTTTTACATGAATGCCTTTCTAAAACACGTTTGCTTCTTCTCCTACCCGCTGTTGGACTTGGTCAGCCTCTCAACACGACTCGGATTAATGCTGCCGAAATCGAAAGCCGAGTTCGAGAATTGAGCAAGTTAGCTGAGACCACAGATAAAGTCAAGCAAGGCTTTTGGGAAGAGTTTGAGGTAAGTTATTACGAAATTGGTTTTATGTGACTTTTAATGGATAAGGTGTTAGAATTTGATCTGAAAGACCTGAATCCAATCCTTTCTTAATTCAGCCAGTGACTGGCTAGAAGCCAGTAGCTGAAGGGCTGCTAAGGGACAGAGGGCGTTGTCCTCAGACAGAGGAGTTGGCAGTTTGTGTCGAATGGAGGAGCCAGCACTTCCATTTGGTGCTTTCAGTTGGGACTGCTGGCAAAGTCCCAGAAAAACAAAAGACTGGAATTCCATTGGAAGATTTCCAGTGCTTACTGGGGTCTTCAGAAAGCCGGGGCAGCCTCATTACTCTGAATGGTAGGAGGGAAGTACTGTGTGCTTGCTGTGCTCCAGAAGGTCAAGTAGGTAACTTTGGGGACTGGGTGGACCAATTTCTCCTACTTAGCTAGGAGAATATCCTGAGTGAAAGATCCTCCATTCCCCTTTCCTGTCACTTACCCCTGATCCTGTAATCTCTCTCTCTCCCCTCATCCATTTGACAGAAATCTTTCAAACACAGTGATCTTGGTGCTGGGAGCATGGTTCAGAAGTAGAGCCTAGGATTCATGAGTTCCTGAGTGCAGGCACTATAAAGAAAAGAAAAGTAACCACAAACCCCCAGGTTTTTGGCATCCTCCTCCTGCTCCGGGCAATACTAGGATTTGTCTCAGGGCTTCTCCCTTGCTAGGCTGATGTGAGGCCACTGAGTCACATTCCCAGCATTGCTTTTGACGTAGCTACTGTCCTAGTTATCTCAAATGCTCAGCACAGGGCCTGGCACACAGCGGGAACTCCGTAAGTTAGTGTTTCTCGACTCACTGCTTTAATTTAGTGGCTGTTTACCTCCTTTTATTATTATTTTTTTTAATTTAATTTTATTTTATTTGAGAACATACTGTACAGAGGGGTTACAATTACATGGGCAGGATAATGCGTACATTTCTTACCAAGCATTGCAGCCTCCTCCTTTAGTTTACCCTTCACATCCCTTCCCAGCCTCCCCCCTCCTCCTATTTTTTTATTTTTAAATAAGTTTTTTTTTGTGTGAAAATACTGTACGGAGGGGTTACAATCACATGAGCAAGGTAATGAGTACATTCCTTATCAAGCATTGTTGCCTCCTCCTTTGTTTTTCCTCTACCATCCCTTCCCTCCTCTCTCCACAACTACACACACCCCCACCCCACCCCCCAGCCCTTTACCTCCTTTTATGAATGTTCTTTCCATCATCTTTGGAAGACTGTAGAATTCAGCGGCGCTGCGGAATGGACAAGTGAGTAATGACTGAGGGATGAAGTCCTTTCCGCCTCAGTGTGTCAGAGCAGCTCGGTGAGCTCACTGTCAGCTCCAACGCAGAGGCTAGCAGCCTGAGGCACTTCACAGCACACGTAGACTCCAGTTGCGTTCCAGCCTGGAGGAGCTTGTGTGGAGCAACCGAGTGCTTGCTCAGGACAGTGCATTGCAGGACAGGCCCTACAATTCAGCTTCATTCTCTCCAGGGCCTCAGGCATGCAAGGCAAGCGCTCTACCACTGAGCCACCTTCCCAGCCCTGCAGTCACTTTTGGAAAAGACACTTAGTGCCTTTTTTCCAGCAATTCCAGCAGTCCTTTCTCCAGTCCCTCCTCCCTGTGCTGCTTTAGCTCCTCAATCCCCCAGTTTTGTTGGCATCTCCACCCTGCAGCACACCATTACTAGTTTGTTCCTTTTCCCTCCCTTGTGTCTTGCTATTCCCTGCAGTTCTCCCACACGCCTCGCCGAGCCTGGTGGCTCTGGAGGACACGCCACGCTTCTTGCTTCACACTCTCAGCGTGTCCTCCTTCCCTGGGGTTTATGCTGCTTTCGGGCTCTGGGGATGTCGTTCGGCTTGTGCATTCCACGTTGCTTCTCGGCTGTCATCTCTCTTCAGACTCAGGCATTCCAGACAGGGCTTGTGATTTTCTCCCTCAGAGCAAATCTTAGCTTCCTGTCCTTGTTAGTCATGTCTTTTTAAATAATCCCATCCCTATAGTGCCTGGGTTCACTTTTCTCCTCTTCCTCTCATAGTTTATTGTGTGCCAAGTCCTGTTGATTTTCGTTTTCTAACATCTTTCTAGTTGTTGTTTTTTTTTTTTTTCTGGTCATGGGGCCTGAACTCTGGGCCTGGGCGCTGTCCCTCAGCTCTCAGCTCAAGGCTAGCGCTTGAGCCACAGAGCCACTTCCGGCTTTTTCTGCTTATGTGGTGCTGAGGAATCGAACCCAGGGCCTCAGGCATGCAAGGCAAGCACTCTACCACTGAGCCACCTTCCCAGCTCCCCATCTTTCTAGTTTTAAAGGAAGGAATTGCATTTGTGTTATCTGCATCGCATGCTATCTGGGGCTCTGGAAGACATCTGGTGCACCGCCAGGTCTTCTGAGGTAGATTAGGCATTCTCCAGATGCTCTGCTGGACCGAGGTACCTGTCCAGGGTGGCCCAGCTGAGGGTACCCTTGTAGCCTGATGCCAGGGTTTGTTTATCTTTGGCTCTCTTTGCTGGGATCCCACCCCTCTAAGCCTTACCTGCCCGCCCCCCCCAGCCTTCTCTTCTTCTCTCCTCTAGATCCCTTCCCCTCCTTCCACAAATATGTATCCCTTAGTAGCTTTGTTTTCCAAGTAAATCCCATGGCTTGTACTTGCCTTAAAGTTCTTTGGCATTATTTGCTTATTTTTGTTTGTTCATTTGTTTTTCGGAGCTGGCGGCGGAACCCAGTGCCTTTTACCCAGAAGACCCGTGCTCAGCCCACCAGCATCGTTATTTTTATCCCTGAGTAGTTGGGCTCTGCTGCTCCAAACAGTCTTTGGAGCCGGCGGAACACAGGGGCACTGTCTCTGCAGGTGCCTGTGTGCCTCTCTTCCTCTTGGTTTCCATTCTTGAAACTCCAGTCCAGAGCCAGGCCCAGAGCCTGTGGGAAAATCTCAGTCCTCAGTGATGGGGCTGCTGCGCTGGGTACCAGGTTGGCAGGAGTTCAGAGAAGAGATGCTTGACGTGCGTGATGGCAGTAAACACAAGGAACCATCCTGTGCAATGAAACTTGTCCTCTGCCTTGGTACTCCCGCTGGGCACTTGTACATGTTCCCCACGGGACAGGACAGGGCGTTGGCTTTCCTGACGCCTTTGCAGGTTTTGTGTGGGCTCTGGTCTCTAGAGTCTGCTGAGAGCTGGGCCCTGATGGTGATAGAGGGGAACCGGGTGGGGCTGGAGGAATCCGCCCTCCACAGTGATGGCGGCCGAGCGCCCTCCAGGAGAGAAATGGCTCCTAAGCGAGGGCTCCCGCACCGGGGAGCCAGGTTTGTTTTAAATGAGGCTGCTACTTCTCTCTCCCTTTACCGTTTTTTGCTGAAGTTTTGTTTCACTTTATCACGCCGGTTGACTTTTAAGTGACAGATTTGGTTCAGTGTTTGAACTTCTCTTTGAACCTCACCTCGCTACCCTAAGCATCCAGTACTGTTGCCAGGCAGGGCTGGCTCACAGTTCAAGCAAATGCCAGCTTGCAAAAGGCACACAGCTTTAATTAATCTAGATGAGTATGTCTCTCCCTGAGTCCCGCATGCTTGGGGCTTGTTTCTGTTAAGGTTTCCGCCAGCGGAACACTTTCTGTTATGAGCTGTGTGTTGAGGCTGAATATTGCATTTTGAAACTGAGAGTCAAATACTAATTTAAAACCCTGACTTTTATACCTGCCTTTGAAATTCAGATAAATGAAATGGAACTATCACAGGGCTGCTGCACTACAAAATATCGATTCTGTCTCTTCTGGCAGAAATCTTTAAGGGGTAGTCGTTGTGGCATTTTTATATAGAAAAATTGCTTTTCTTTTTAGCCTACTTTTCACTTTCCTGTTTTGCCCATTTGTGATTTCCCATTAAAAACTACCCTGCAGGGAGTTGGCTGGCGGGGGAGAAGTAGAGGGTGCAGCTCAGTAGGACAGCACTTGCCTAGTAAGTGCCAGAGGCCCTGGGTTCGATCTCTGGATTGCAAAACCCAAACTAGCATGTTGGAGACTAATGACCCCTCGCAGAGGCACATTCTGTGATTTTGGAAAGGGAACACACTCCTTGAGTGCTCTGCCGCCTGGCCAGTGCCCGCCTCGGGCCTGCCCGCACAGTTGTCTTCTTTCTTCCCCGAGTTCCCTATTGATCTGGGCCAGCCCCACAGTGGCTGTCTGGTTCAGTGTCTCTCTCTGCCTGATGGTGTTCCCCACCTCCTGGTCCCAGAGAGGGCTCAGTGAATGCCTCATTCCCATCCCTGTCCCTTCCCAAGCCTCCTTCCACCATGTCATGGCCTGGCCACACGGGCTTGCCATCGGAAACCCCAAAGCTTCACTGGGAGAGTCACATTCCCATCATCCAGTGATGGCAGACCGCCCCGCCATCCCCTACCAGATCAAGCCCGGGCCCCTCCCCTCCTCCTTCCCTTTCTCCCTCCTCCCTTCTCTTCCCTTTTGTTTCCTTTCTCTGCTTTTGACGAATCATAACAATTACTTTTCTTTCTAGACACTACAACAGCAGGAATGCAAACTTCTCTACAGCCGAAAAGAGGGTCAGAGGCAAGAAAATAAGAACAAGAACAGATATAAAAACATCCTGCCCTGTAAGTATCAATATATCCTCCTTGATAATTAATAGTCACTGTGCCCAGGGCCGGGTGGGGGTGGGGGTGGCGGTCGGCAGGTGGTTTTGCTCTTGTTAACAGACCCCAGGCCTTAGCATCTTAAAGGGAGAACAGTAGTTTCTAAAATAATCAACCGCAGAGGGGATGGATGGTCTTCTTCATGGGTTTCTAGGATACTGGTTGCCATAAAACAGCCACGTGGAGGTTTGGTCTGTGGTCCTGTCCTTCTGTTCATTAGTTTTCTGTCTGCCCAAGTGTAATCATCTCAAGGTTGTGACCATACAGAGTCAGGCCGTGCCATGAGTCACAGGGTCTGAGATCCTTGCCTTGGCTCTCCAGCATGCACCCCAAGTCATGGGGAAGGCTCACCTCAGTTCACTCATGTGGGAAAAATCAGAAAACGCTCCGGAGTCTGCCATCCAACTCTTCCTCTTGCTAGTCCCCTGACTTGCAGTGACACACCTGCAGTTGCTCAAAAGAGGACTGTGGGAATATTTTGGAAGCTGTACTTCCTTTCATATGCAGATGCTGCCAGGAAGAGTCCAGGTTGAACCTGGAAGGAACAAAGGCCTAGAAGGAAGTGGACCTAGAGCAGGGACCCCACGAATGGTCCCCCACACATGTGCAGTTACCTCTCTAGAGGGCAGACTCTGCCAGTCTTTGCAGCCTGATATTTCCTAATCTGGACCTCATGGGCACAGAGCAAGTGTTCTTACCCACATGCCAGAGACTGTTTAGCAAGGCTACAGGTGGCATTCCAAAGGCGCTGTCCTTGTGCCATAGAGGGGCCCCAGATTCATGCCTGCGATCCCAGCTACTCAGGACTTAGAGACTGGCAGGATTACTATTCAAGGCCAGTCCAGGCAAAAAGTGCGACCCCCCCCCCCCCCCCCATCTCAGCACAAGCTGGTGTAGTAGCACACGGCAGTCATGCTAGCTGCATGGGAAGTATAATAAGCAGGAGGATGGCGGTCCAGCCCTGGCAAATACTTACGGACAGCATTATGTTTAGAAACAGCAGTGATTACTCCTTCATCTTTCCTACCGCTTGTGACCCCATGAGCACTAGGGGAGGCCCTGAGCAGAGGGAAAACATAGATATAAAAGAACGAGGTCTCTTGGGCTAGGAAGGTGGCTCAGTGGTAGAGCGCTTGCCTTGCATGCCTGAGGCCCTGGGTTCCATTCCTCAGTACCACATAAGCAAAAAAGAAAAAAGCCGGAAGTGGCGCTGTGGCTCAAGTGGTAGAGCGCTAGCCTTGAGCTGAAGAGCTGAGGGACAGCGCCCAGGCCCAGAGTTCAGGCCCCACGACCCGACTCCCCCCCCCCAAAAAAAAAAAAAAGAACGAGGTCTTTTGAGATCATTAGCCCCCTACCTGATAAGTAAACAATGCCAGAAGGTCTCAAAGAGGCCCTGAATTTAAACCCTAGAACCCACCCCCCAAAAATAGAAAAAAAAAAGAAGAGGAGGAGAAGGCAGCCTTGGGGGCACCCGGTGGCATTCAGGGAGTGTGTGTTTGTAGTTTATTTTTCGTGCCATCTTCTCGTTGAGGAGGGTTTTATCCCTTGGAGGGTTGAGGGTGAACTGATGGGCGCTGACGCAGAGTTCTCATGGGGCTGTGCTCTCCCTTCCTTCCAGTCGATCACACCAGGGTGGTCCTGCATGATGGGGACCCTAACGAGCCCGTTTCTGATTACATCAACGCAAACATCATCATGGTAAACCTGCCTTTCTCACTGTTTTCTGGTTGCCTGTGGAGGGAAGTTTTAACCTTGTGTCCTGAAAGCAACTTCCACATGTTTGAAGGACTTTCTTCCTAAATTTGTAGCCTGAATTTGAAACCAAGTGCAACAATTCAAAGCCCAAGAAGAGTTACATTGCCACACAAGGCTGCCTACAGAACACGGTGAATGACTTCTGGCGGATGGTGTTCCAGGAGAACTCCCGGGTGATCGTCATGACGACCAAGGAGGTGGAGAGGGGGAAGGTATGCCACACACCCTTCCTCCCTCCCTCCCTCCTTCCCTCCCTCCCTTCCTTCTTCCCTTCCTTGAGCTTGAACTAAGGGCCTGGGCATTGTCCCTGAGCCTCTTTGAATTCAACACTAGCACTCTACCACTTGGGCCACAGCACCACTTCCAGCTTTTTCTGAGTGCTTTATTGGAGATAAGAGTTATACGAACTTTTCTGCCCAGGCTGATTTCAAACCATGGTCATCAGATCTCAGCCTCCTGAGTAGCTAGGGTTACAGGCAAGAGCCACCAGCACCCAGCTTCCTTTTCTTTTTTAACACAGTAGAGGCATGGACTTTATGCATGCTAGGCCACAACAACTTGGGCCACAAGCCCAGCCCTTTATATGGCTTTAGTTTTCACATAGATCTTGGGCTTTTGCTTGGTCTGGCCTTCAACAACAATCCTCCTACCCATGCCTCCCACGTGTCTGGAATAAGTATGCTGCCATATCTGGCCCTCCTTGTGGGTTTTTAATGTGGAAATATCATGAGTTTTTTCGGGTGTTGTTGTCAAAGTTCTTTCTGTTCTGTCTGTAACTGGTTTATGTAAGAATTGAGTGGAACATGACAGCCACATCTAGCAGTGAACCAGGGGCAGATGAGGATTTGGGACTGAGGTCCTCCGGGGCAGCTTCTCTGCGCTGTGAGGGTGGGGCAGTTGCATAAGATTCGTGCTTGGATTCCTGGCTGGTGCACTTCTGCACGTTCCTGAGGTTAAATCTGGCACACTCAGTGAGACGCAGGCTTCCTTGAGCAGTGACATTAGATGTTCTCGAACTCATGGGCCAATGACAGCATCTTCCTAATTTCTGCCTGGCCTGATGTGGAAGGAAGGGCTGAAGCCCCCTACCTTCCTTCCCGCTGGCTTGGGTGTTCAGGAGGCAGCTCACTCACAGCACTTGGGCTGTGATAGGCATCTAGGGGCTTTCAGAGGCTCAGTGCCAGACCCCATCAGAAGAGCTATGGAAGCTCTCAGAACAACAGGCATGACCAGCTGGCTTGGTCCCGATGCTAACTCCCTTGCCTCCATCTCGGCTTGCTATATGTCTTTTGTGCCATAGGCCTCTTTCCATGAGAGTGGTCATTTTGCAAGACTTGGACCTTTGTTTGCTGCTGGCTCCGGCTCTCGGAGATTAACTGTCTGTCCTCGGATCTCTTCCAGAGCAAATGTGTCAAGTATTGGCCAGACGAGTATGCGCTCAAAGAGTATGGGGTCATGCGTGTCCGGAACGTCAAAGAAAGCGCTGCTCATGACTACACGCTAAGAGAACTCAAGCTCTCGAAGGTCGGACAAGTAAGTATATTGTATTTGAAGACTTCGGTAACGGTGTTGGGCACGTAGGATCCAGCGTCTCTGGTTACCTGTGTTTGCTTGCGTTCGTGCATCTGTTCACTTACTGACTCGGCCGTTCCAGTGCGGGAGGAGCCTCTGGGCCGCTGGCTGGCCTAGGGTCTGGGACAACTTGAAGGCCAGCGATTCCTCAACTCCCTGATTTATTTAATTCTTTTCTGGTTTTTCTTGGCTCTACTCCAGGGGAATACGGAGAGAACGGTCTGGCAATACCACTTTCGGACCTGGCCGGACCACGGCGTGCCCAGTGACCCCGGGGGCGTGCTGGACTTCCTGGAGGAGGTCCACCACAAGCAAGAGAGCATCATGGATGCAGGCCCTGTCGTGGTTCACTGCAGGTGACAGCGGGGGCTGGCTTTGCCTGCCCTCCCCTGGCTCTCCAGGGGACACTGTGACCCCCGAGTGTATTTCTCATAGACCTGGCATGACCTCCAGGCAGAGGGGACAGCGTGGGTGAGGTGGGCCCAGGCCTTACTCTCAAGGATCCCTCACTGAGTTAGTTTTGCTGAGTCTTCTTTATAAATATAATGTAGGGTTCATGTCTGAGTGATATGTTCATATAGTAATAATGTAGGGCTCACGTCTTAGGAATATGTATTTTCCTCGGCACTACACTGTTTGCGTCTTGAGGTGTCAGTCACTTCCCCCCTTGGTGGTGGCTGTCTCTGGACCTCCAGAGGAAAGTGGGGTTGCCAGTGCCCCACTTGGGCTTTGTGCCTGCATGGGGGACAGTCTGGCTCTCTGTATCTCCTTCCTGGGCTGGGCAGGTAGATGTGTGAAACGGGCTGTGCTCCTAGTTTTCAAAAGCTACATATAGCAAGCCCGTGTTTCGTGTCAGCCCCTAGCTGTGCTGTTGCCCCCATTTCACAGACATGGAAACAGAGGGTCAGAGGGGTGCAGGGACTTGCCTTGAGCACACTATTCTAGGAGGCCAGGCTCCAAGTGCAGAGCCTTGTGCTTGTTGCCAGTGTATTTGTAGGTAGGAAGAGGCTGTCTGTAAACCGTGGCAGAGCAGATACTCCTCTTAATATTAGCAGCTTGTGTGTGTATGTGTATGTGCGTGTACATGTGTGTGCTGGTCCTTAGGTTTGAACTCAGGGCCGAGGCACTGCCCCTGTGCTTTTTTGCTCAAGGCTTGCACTCTACCACTTGAGCCACAGTTCCACTCCCACCTTTTTGGTGGTTAGTCGGAGATAAGAGTCTTAGTAGACTTTCCTGCCCTGGCTGGCTTTAAATCCTGATCCTCAAATCTCAGCCTCCTGAGTAGCTAGGATTTACAAGTGTGAGACACCAGCATCCAGCTTAGCAGCTTGGTTTTGAGTGTAAACCACCATGACCGACCCTGCTGTCCCTGCTTCTCATCTTGCCTTCAGTGCTGGCATTGGCCGGACGGGAACATTCATTGTGATCGACATCCTTATCGACATCATCAGAGAGAAAGGTAGGTCGTATGGAGGGTGAGGAGACACAGCGCTGGCTGTCCTCCAAGGAAGGTGGGTGCAGGGGGGAGGGGAATTGGGAGTCCAGAAACCTCCCCAGCACTCCACCATCACTATTCACCTGAGAAGAGCAGGGCTAGCCCTGTGCTGTGGCTTTGCTGCTCTGTGCCTGCCTCTGAAATGGAGTAGGGTCACTGGGCAGTGAGAGCACCTGACCTCCTACCCTGGTCATGCCATCCTGGTGCCGTCCTGAGCCCTTAGAGACACTACCAAGGAGCCCCGGGCTGTGGCCCTTAGCACACAGTTGGGGAGAGCAGAGACGCTGACTCTGCAGCCAGCTGGAGCTGGGCCTGCAGCTCCTCCTGACCACCTCCCAGCCCTGCAGCTCCTCCTGACCACCTCCCAGCCCTGCAGCTCCTCCTGACCACCTCCCAGCCCTGCAGCTCCTCCTGACCACCTCCCAGCCCTGCAGCTCCTCCTGACCACCTCCCAGCCCTGCAGCTCCTGAGCTCCTTCCCCCCAGCCCAGCAGCCCCTCCTGCAGCTTCATAGTCTTTGCTTTTTTGCTTTGTAGGTGTTGACTGTGACATCGACGTTCCCAAAACCATTCAGATGGTCCGGTCCCAGAGGTCAGGGATGGTCCAGACAGAAGCACAATACCGGTTCATCTACATGGCCGTCCAGCATTATATTGAAACACTACAGCGCAGGATTGAAGAAGAGCAGGTACTACTGGAGGCCCAGCCTGGGCTTCCTTTCCTTCCTGGCTTCTACTTCCCTTTGCTTTACACAGAACACAGGCTCAGATTAATAGTTCTCTCTTTCTCCTTCTCTCCCTCTCTCCCTCTCCCCTCAGAAGTAGTAAGGAGGGGCTGGGAAGGTGGCTCAGTGGTAGAGCGCTTGCCTTGCATGCAAGAAGCTCTGGGTTCGATTCCTTAGCACCACATAAGCAAAAAGAAAAAAGCTGGAAGTGGCGCTGTGGCTCAAGTCGTAGAGCACTAGCCTTGAGCTGAAGAGCTGAGCGACAGCGCCCAGGCCCAGAGTTCAGGCCCCACAATCGGACACCCCCCCTCCCAAAAAAGAAGTAGTAAGGATTGAGCCCTGCTTGTTAGGCAGGTGCTATATCATGTGCGCCCCCCCCCCCCCCCCCCCCCCCGGCCCAGTCCATTTACTTTTTAGTTTTTTCCGAAAGAGCCTTCTACCTTTGCTTGGCCAGCCTCAGATTGTCTCCCTCCATCTCTTAAGTAGCTGCTGGGATTATAGTCATGGGCTACCACACCTGGCCCTCAGGCACCATCTTCATTTGGGAATGAGAAACAGACACCCACCTCACAGGACCCCTTAGAGACTAGAATTGTCCCCACTTACAGCTTGGGGTTCAGACCAGAGTGACATCCTGTGGCACTGCACCGTTGTCCCGGCTGCCCAGGCGGAAGCTTACATGGCAAGCTTGGAACTCAGAGCCTTCACACTTCCAGCCTGTTCCAGCTTTGGTCTGGCCCACGTTCATCCCGGTTCCATCTTTTAAAATTAATATCTCTGTTGGCAGCACTGGGGTTTGAACCACTAATCTGGCCGAGTTGGAGACTGTGAAGTTTCGCTTTTTAACACACTGTGCATGATGACGGAGAACTAGAGTCGGAGCCTTTCCCTTTGAAGCAATTCACAGACAGAAAGCTTAGTCACTTAGGGGATGCCCTACCAAGGTGGATGAAGACAGCTGCTCTTTTGGGGAGCTGCGTGATCTCCCTGTCCACAGCCCTGCTGGGGTGTGCGTGCCAGTTGAACTCTTCCTGGGCACTGTCCCTGAGCTCTTGGGCTCAAGGTTGGCACTCTACCACTTGAACCACAGCTCCACTTCTGGCTTTTTGGTGATTGATTGGAGGTGGGAGTTTCATGGACTTTCCTGCACAGGCTGGCTTTGAACCACAATCTTCAGATCTCAGACTCTTGAATATTACCGCTAGGATTTAAAGGTGTGAGCCACCAGTGCCCAGCTTAGTCAATGTATTTTTCACTGTATGGTACATTTATGTAAGTTTCCTCATAATTTGGTCAACATATCAGTATTTTCAAAGTCTAGCTTATTTTTGTCTCTTTTTCTTTCTCCCCTCCCCCCCTTTGATGAAGCATATTTATGTTTCTTTTTAGTTTTTTAAAACCACAGCCCCTCATATCTGTGCTTTTCCATCTTTCAGAAAAGCAAGCGGAAAGGGCACGAGTACACCAATATTAAGTATTCCCTGTCGGACCAGACGGGCGGGGAGCAGAGTCCCCTCCCGCCCTGCACCCCGACGCCACCCAGTGCTACCGAGTAAGTAGTGGTTGGAGGGCTTTCTAATGGAACGCAGTTGTGTGGGCAGGCGTGTTCCGCCACCCCTCCCACGTGTGCACCTGGGCGCCCAGAGAGCCAGCGGCCTGCCTCTTCTAGGGCTTGTCTTCCTCTTCCTGTACTGCAGGCTGATTGCGTTCAGGTGGGTTCTCTGAGAGGCAGGTGTTTGCACCCGGGGGCGGGGGGAGGGTGGGGTAGGGATAACTGCAGAGCCAGGCAAGTAACAGTCCTTAGGATGTGCTGAGGTTTTGCCAAATGCGAGTAAACACATGGGTTACTAAGATGTCAGCCAGCTCACGACCTGCTAGAAACCCACCTTTCAGAGCCAGTGGTCAGAAAACAGCCCACCAGCCAAATTGTTTAAAAACAACACCATGTTCCCTCTTCCACCTCTAAAGAGTAAAAATGTATGATAGAGACTGTGTGGCCCACACAGTGTGAAACATCCACCCCCTGCTTCTCCCCAGCTCCCCACAACTGAAACACAGCAGGGAAAACATTTGTGGAAGTGATCATGTGAATAGTGCTTGTTTTTCTCTATATTCTGAAGTCACCCACTAGTATAACATTTACCTTTTATTCCCCCTAAGAATCTGACCTCTGTTTACTTCTGATTTGGATGTTTAAAGCTCTTACTGACTTGGGTATTGTATGTAAGTGTTTTGGAGAGCAGATACATGCTTATGTTTATGTTCACTTTCTGTTGAACATTGAAATGAAATTCCACAGTAGAAGCCCTTCCTCCTCCACCTTCTCCTCCTCTTCCACCTCTTTCTCTTCCTCCTTCTCCCTCCCCCCCTCACCCCCTGTGGGCTTCCATGGCAAATCTAAAGCAGTCTGCAGTCGAGCTAGAAGGCGGGTGTTCCTGGGGTCACCTGGCTCCACACTTCCTCTTACAGTGGCAAACCTGCTCTGCTCCCTCCTGCAAACATGGATGCCTCTTCACATCTAACTCAGTGCCTTGCTTCACAGACCTCCCTGCCTGCCTGCCTGGAGCGCACCCCCAGTGAGCACAGAGATTCTCAGCTCTGACTGTCCTAGTAACTTCCTAATGCTGTATGTCCTTTGGAGTGAGGAAGGGTTTGCACATAGCTGGGTCCCAAAGAATGGCGTGCGTGCCTTGCAAATTCCGCATCCTGGGCCAGCCCCTGTGAGGCCCGTGCCGTGGTCCATGCGTGCCTTCTCTTTCCCTGCAGCCTGAGGGAGGACAGTGCTCGAGTCTATGAGAACGTGGGCCTAATGCAGCAGCAGAAGAGCTTCCGGTGAGGGCGCTGCGGCACTCCAGCACAGAAATAGGTATTTAAATGAAAGCCAGCGCTCGCCGGGGACTGCTTATGTAATCACAGCGGTTTGGGAGCAGGCAGGCGATTTGTGAATATTTCAGCAAAGTGTGCCATCATGGAGGGTTGCACACCAGCCTCCCCTTTCTCACCCTGTATTTCTTTCACGAGCAAGGTTTAGTTGACAATTCATTAGCCATGAAACTAGATGCAGATTTCAGTGTGCAGCTGCTCCAGGGGTCTAGCCCAGGGCAGTGGGACGAGCAGACATCCTTTGTGTGGGTCTGAGCTGGTACTGGAGCTGGAACCCAGGGTCTCTTGCTCTTGCTACTTGGTTTTTTAGTTCAAGATGGACGTTCTACCACTCAAGTCACACCCCCACTTCCGGGCTTTTTTTTTTATTAGAGTTGAGTGATCCACACTGTGCCAGCCCCCTCTGTCAGCATCTGTCAGGGGCTGGACACGGCACTCGGTGGCTCCTGAGTCCTGCCTGGGTCAGCTCCACCTTTGCTGCTCGACTGCGGGCATCGACTCCCGCACATCCTCTCCCCGCCAGTCACCTTTGCAGACCAAACACGTGATGATGGGCGTTTCATGGATAGGCTGGGAAGTCATAGTTTCAGAATTTTGTGCTGAAATTCCCATCTCAGCGCAGAGTGTATTGTCCTTGCTTCGGGCTCGGGTATTGCGCGGTGGTGGAGTGCTTGCCTCATGGCGTGTAAAGCCCTGGGCTCTATCCCCCACACCACACGGAAAATGAGTCAAATGTTTCGCCATGCTTTCGAAAATTCAAACACCTTTCTTCCTCAGATGCGGACTTTGACCCCTCCCCCACCAAGGTCAAGAACAGATGCAGGGAAGTTTACAGAAGAATGAACTGGAAGGCTTGCACGGTGGTCTACTTTTTGATAAGAAAATTGGAAACCATTTAAAGGCCATTGTATTCTAACTCAGAAGTTCCTATCCTCAGATACGAAGAAATCATCTCTACAATGTAGACAGTGTTCTATTTTATAGGATTCTGCTTAGAGTTGAGGAAGCAGTTAAATTGTGCTCCTATTTTACAGATTATGGGATTCAGAGTCTAGCTGTGGGCAGTTTTGTTTTTTTTTTCTTCTCCTTTTTATAACTTTAAGTGATTTGACTCCTCCCCCTCCCCCCCACCTTTTTCTGTAAGGATCATGTGACACATGTAAGAAGAAATGTCTTGGGGAAGTTAAGTAGCAGGTTCCCTGGGAAGTGAAAACAATTCCATTCACCTTGGCTGCCATCTTATCCTGGTTTATGTTGTTGTACAGAACACTCCAGACACAGCCTGTATCAATTATAACATAGTTGCAGAACGCGAAGCCACATCCTGCTCTGTGTAGCAGAGCAGAGGGCGCCTCGGGGTCACCTCAGGAGGGGCGGAAAGCCACCCTGTGGATGAACCCCCATCACCCCTATGGTTCCCCATCTCTGCAAGCATCACATTGGGGAGCAAGTTTCTAAGAAGTGCGGTTGGGGACACAGTCAGCCAAAGCATTTATCCAGCCAGCAGTGGATAGTCACTTTGGTGGCTTCTTTCTTCCCCTCCAGTTGATTATCTTTGCATTGCTAATAGTCACAGGAATCGGGGGAGGGGGGCATGGCTCAGGCAAGAATTCACCAGCCTAGTAAGCAAGAGGTCACACAAGTTCAAACTGCTGTACCTGCCCCCTTCCCCCCAAAAAGAATGAATTACAAAGTCATGAAGTCCTGAGAAACAAACTTACGAATTAGGGTGAGATGTATTTTCCTCTTAGCAGACAGCCAGGTGCCATGACCTGTCAGATAAAGGCATGAGGGGATGGCGGTCGCTCCGCCCTTGCATTTGGCATGTTCATCTTGTGTTTAGAGCAGAGAAGAGTCATGATCATGAAATGTCAATAATGTCTCCCACCTTGGTCCTCGCTGGGTCAATCGAGTCGGTCCGCAGGGCCTACAGATGGTCACTGAGGCGGTCGGCAGGGTGCCTGAGGTGCTGGGATGGCCGGCTTCTGTCTCTGGGTAGAGTCCTCGGGTCTCTAGGTCATCTCTGGTGCCCCCCACAACATGGCAGCTCAGGCCTTCTTCAGGCTCAATTCACAATTCTGTGGCTCCCCTCTGTGCCCTCTGAGGCAAGTCAGGCCCACCCGATCCAAGAAGAGGGCCCAGCATGGTGGGCTTCACCGGAGGCCATCAGTCCAGGAGAGGCCAAGGGAGACCTTGGGAGGCTGAGGCCCCTTAACAGTCAGTGACAGAGGCAGCAATCAGATGAGAAAGTCACCAAGAGCCTTCAGGAAGCTCTGAGCAGTCCTGCTAGTGACTTGCACATCTGCTGGACCAACCGAGTGCAGGGGACAGAGCGTGCGGCAGCAGAGCTCCCTCCGGTGACGCCTGCAGGGCCTGGCGGCTGGGATGCTGTCGGGTCCGGCCGCAGCGAGGAGCGGAGCCGGCTCTTGTCAGATGCAGCCCGCAGTGGGATTTGCGAATGTCCTGCCCTAAGTGCCTTCTCCAGAGACCTCGCTCAGCCTCTCGTGTGGCGGCAGCGGCGGTGGCCAGTGAAGCAACTCCGCAGACTGCGGAGTCCGGCTTTCCTTGCTCAGTCTTCTTGCTTTGGCTCTTGAAAGGAAGGACTAGATGCTCCCCCTCCCCCCAGCCCAGCAGAAGTTCCTTTCTGGAACCCTGAGGAACTTCGGGCTGTGCAGTGGCCTTGGTCGATCCCCCCCCACCCTTCCATGCCCCTTGCTTCAGAGCAAGGCGTCTGTCACCGTCCTGGAATTGTGATGACTGTTGTCTTTTTGTCACCATACTGGGGTGTAATGGCTGCTCTCTTCCTGCCAAGCCTGTAGAGAAGGAAATGCTAGCTCCGTGTGTGCACACGGGATTGTGAATCGTCTGTTTGGGGGGATTGCTTTGACTCCGCACCAGCACACAAAGCACGGATTGTACAAGTAGGCCTGCCGCATCTGCATGTTGACCTGCTGTTGACTGTCTTGGGACGGTCAGCGTTGACTGCTGTCGTGCACTGATTCCGCGTAGGTTCCCTCCGCAAAGCCAGCAAGCTGTCACGTTACGTAAGCAGATCCCAGACCAGGCTGGTGACATCGCCAGTGGCTGAGTCTGCCAGGTGTTGGGTGGAAGGCCGCTGCAGGTTCTCGGGTCAGGCGGTTCTGTATGTGGTAATGCAGGTAGGGCTGGGGAGATGAGGGCACTTGGGGTGCAGGTGTTCCTCCAAGTTGCTGAGAGGGTCTGTGAGAAGGCGAAGGCTCAAGGCCAGAGCAGTCAGTACTGGGTGAAGCAGAAACACGGATGTGACAGGAACACAGCCAGCCTACATCGGGCTTGTTGGTGGTCATGAAAAATGCGCAATATGCCATAGCTGGCTGAGCGTTTTAAAATTAGAAGCGTAGGGGTGAAATTGGGGTGAAATAAAATTTCTGGCACACGATACTGAGCTTTTTGAAAATCAAATTTAAAACACTTAATTTCTTTTTTGATGGAGAAGACATCCCAGCTCCATGGGAGGCTGAGATCAGGAGGATTGAGGTTCCAGCATAGCCTGGGCAAAAAAGAAAAAGCCCTGGAAAAGCCGAGCATGGTGATAGATGTCTGTCATCACAACATGGCAGGAAGCGGGAGAAGGAGGATCCCAGGTCAGCCTGGGCAGCGGTAGAGCACCTGCTTAGCAAGCGTGACACACTGTGTCAGATGCCAGCACTGCCCAAAGTGAGATCACCAACTCCATAAAGTGAATCTAAACCCACAGCCCCTCCTGACTAGGGTGTGACCCACCCATCAAACCCAGCGCCCTTGGACACATGGGACGGGAATTCACGCAGGGCCGCCTGGATCTCTGCTTCCTCAGCCAAGAAAAACGGTCCATATGATTTTTTTAGAAGCTGTTTTACTGGGGATTTTAAAGAACTGTTATGAATTCTTGGGTTATTTCTGGGTCGAGGGATTATGGGAAAGTATGCAGCTGTTAGGAGTTGTAGATTAGGGATCAATTAGGGAGGGGGTGTGGATGGAAAGCTGGCCCGCGGGCAGGTCTGTGTGCTGTCAGTGGTCGGGGTGAGTTTTTCACGCAACAAGCACACGGCCTCCCTGATATTAAGAAGCCTTTCTTAGGATCTGTGTTAGTCCTTAATTCTGTTGAAACATTTTTCCTTCTTCCTCTTGAAAAGTAAGTTCCAAAATAGAGTTTATTGTATCTTTCACCACTAAAGTTTTTTTTTTTTTTTCCTTTTTCCCTATGGGCAAGTTCACACACGGCCAAAATATAAAGCAGTTGGTTTCACTGTGTCTTATAACTTTGCTATATATCAAACTAATTTTTACAAGTTTTCATCCTAAACCTCAGATCATGTAATTAATAATTTGCCTGTTTATTTATGACCTAATTGTGGTTCTTTTATTAATAAAAGCTAATGGGAAAGGATCCTCTATTAAGCTGATGACTAGACCTACATTTAATTTCCCTGCAGTGTATGGAATATTGTACCAGAGTATTAAAAGATATGTAATATTTTATTGATAAATCTATCCCTTAAAAGGAATACGTTTTAGGATGTCGTCATTTTGATATGAGCTATGTAAATGCTGATAATATGCTGTTGGTTATACATTTAGTGTTTCAAGAGATTCACTTACTTGCCTTTTTTTGCCCACATGCAGTACGTAGTCTATTTGCAGTTGTTTTTTGTTTTTTTTTTTAATGACATTAAAAGAATAGTTTATGTAGGGAAACATGAATGGGTGTTTTCGGCCCTCCCTGGGTGATGGGTGTTAGTTCTATGCTTTGGTAGCCTTGAAGCCGTCAAGTGTATTTGCAAATTGTCTGGAACAAAAAATTAGGAATAAACCCATTTTCTTACGTTCTGGGACTCGTTTTCCTCAGGGGAAGCTGAGGCGCTAGCCACCGAGCCTGGCACGCTGGTGAAGTGCTGGCATAGGCAGCGTTTAGCTAGAAGGAGCCAGGACGAGGAGGATTGGGGAGTTCCTCCTGGAGTAGCTTCAGGAGGAACCTGTGAGTAAGGAAAGGCTCCGAATCACGTCTTGGTCTGCTCCACAGGAAACAACAAACTGCAGAATGGGTGGGGCACTGTGGCGCAAGCCTGTAATCCTAGCTGCTTGACTGGGAAGTTCCCAAGACTCCATCTCAACCAGTGGTTGTGTTCGGTGGTGCATGGTTGCTATCCAGGCTACAGGGGAAGTGTGATGACTGACGCGCACACACACGGGGTATGAATAGTGTTGAAGGTATAAGTACAGATGTGGGAAGGCTTGCAGGAGTGAGCTGCTCCATAGGATGCCATTGCTTTCCTGGAGTGTAGGTCGTAGGCCACCTTTGAACAGGTGGCGGTGGGGATGGAACCCAGGGCCTGACTCCTGCTCGGCCAGTGCTCTACCACCGGAGCCGCACTTGGCCTCGGGCCCTGTAGGCATGCCATTGGCTACCTGTCAGCCATCATAAAGCGAGGGTAGGCTGGATTGTTTCTTTACACCTGTCACAATGAATGTGACCGAGTGAGTCACAGAGTTCCTGGACATGGGAGAGCGTGAGTGGCCGTCAGCTTCGTGTCCACGCCAGTCCTTGTGTGTCAGTGCTGGGTTTCCAAACACTGAATTTGAAAAACATTCATGAGAGAGAAGGAGAGAGGGAGGAGGGGGAAGGGGGGGAGGAGGGAGAGAGGGAGGGAGAAATTGGCTCATTCATGGGTGGTAATGGTTTAGTTACTGACAAGCTAGCAAGCTGACATTCACCTCTTTTCAGGTCAGACTATTTAAAATTCTGAATACCATCAGGATGAAATATGGCTGTGTGTGTGTGTGTGTGTGTGTGTGTGTGTGTGTGTGTGTGTGTGTATGGGGAGGGGGTGGGAATAGAAAGAGAATGATGAATGGGTCCAGGAGCTCAGTTTGATGGGAGGAATAGCTTCCGTGCTCTGTAGCACAGAAGGGTAATTATGGTTGAAAACAATTAATAGTATGTGTCAAAGCAGTGGTAGAAGGGATTTTGTCTGTGTCAACACAAAGAGATGAGAGATATTGATGGTGATGGATGCCGATGATCCTGATCTGATCGCTACACGGGGTGACTACTGAAAATGTCGCATTGTACCATGGAAATAGGTATATGTATAACTTCAAAAAATGCTAAGCTGGGTGCCGGTGGCTCATGCCTGTAATCCTAGCTACTCAAGAGGCTGAGATCTGAGGATCGCAGTTCAAAGCCAGCCCAGGTGGGAAAGACCATGAGACTCATCTCCAATAAACCACCAGAAAACTGGAAGTGGCGCTGTGGCTCAAGTGGTAGAGCACTCTCCTTGAGATGAAGAGCTCAGGGACAGCTCCCAGGCCCAGAGTTCAAGCCCCACAACCGACCAAAAACCTAATAACTAAAATAATGGTTATAAGAAAGAGATGCCTAGCTGGGTGTCGGTGTCTCACACCTGTAATCCTAGCTACTCAGGAGGCTGAGATCTGAGGATCATGGTTCAAAGCCAGCCTGGTCAAGAAACTGAGAGACTTTCATCTCTAATAAACCATTCAGAAAACTGGAAGTGGTTCTGTGGCTCAAATGATAGAGCGCTTGCCTTGAACTGAAGAGCTGAGGGACGGTGCCCAGGCCCAGAGTTCAAGCCCCATGACCAATAACAACAACAACAAAAAACAACGCCTTACTACAAGGCCTGTGGGCAACGTTTGGACAAAGGAATCATGTGTGGTGATATTCTACTGCATGGTTATACTGAGGACAACCATGTTCGGGGTTCACATCTTCTTCCCTTGTAATGCTTAAGCCAGCTGCTGGAGGTGAGGATGGGTGAGGGGAACTCTGGGCCTGGGTGCTGTCCCTCAGCTTTTCAACTCACGGCAAGCACTCTACCACTTGAGCCACAACGCCACTTCTGGTTTTCTGGTGGTTAATTGGAGATAAGAGTCTCATTGACTTTCTTGCCTGGGCTGGCTGGGAACTTAGATCCTCAGATCTCAGCCTCCTGAGTAGCGAGGATGGCAGGCGTGAGCCACGGGCGCCAGGCAGGAAAGCACGTTCAACATAGGTGTCCTCTCAGGTCCTCACATCTGTCCCTCAGTGCCATCTAGGGCAATCTAGGTTCATTTTGCTAGAATTCCCTTGTATAGTGAGTCATTTCATTCTGTACATGGTCGTTGCTGACATCCCTTTTCCTGTGTGTTTTTGATTCTGGGTAATGAGATCCCAGGCCTCGAGGGTAGGTTGAGCATGTGCTCTACCATCAAGTACCAGCTCCAGTGTGAGACTTGTAGCTGCATGGCTACGGACCAATGGTGACCACTTATAGAGGGGAGGACCCAGGGGAAGGGAGTTGCTTGCCTTTGAAGGGTATATTTAGTCCCTGGCCCTTTCTCCCCAGCTCCTCAGGTGCTGAGCTCCACAGGTACCGAGATCTGCAGGTGTGTGTTGAGATCTGCAGGTGTGTAATGAGATCCGCAGGTGCTGAGATCTGCAGGTGTGTGCTGGGATCTGCAGGTGTGTGCTGGGCTCCACAGGTTCTGAGATCGGCAGGTGTGTGCTGAGATCTGCAGGTGTGTGCTGGGATCTGCAGGTGCTGAGGTCCACAGGTGTATGCTGAGGTCCCAGGTTTTGAGATCTGCAGGTGTGTGCTGAGGTCCTCAGTGCCATGATCCACAGGTGCCACAATCCACAGGTGCCACAATCCTCAGGTGCTATGATCTTCAGGTGTAATTGTCTGCAGAAGGCACTTGCCTGCGTGCTGCAACTTGTTTGCAGGTCTCAGCTTCCGAGCTCAGAGCAGGGGTGGAATCCACTGAGCTCTCCTCACCTGAGGGGTGGGAGTCAGCCTCCCTAGGAATGTGGCAAATGCAGAGTCTCAGGCCCTGAGCAAGATCTTACCAGATCACAGAGGACCTGCTATCAGAGGCCTGCAATGTGGAAGCGGAGACAGACGTCACCAGAGGCTTTCCCTGTGTGGGCAAAATCCATGTGGGTCAGTTCAGACAAGAGCTGGACCTGAGGGTGTCTGGGTATCACCGGGCAGCCATGATGCCCAGGCAACAGAGCAAGAGGAGATGCGAAGGCAGCTCGCAGAATTCCAGCGTCATTGCAGATGTCTGGGAATAAGCTCCAGATATTCTTAGACTCCCCACCTACCACCCCGAGTTTGTGACACCCCAACCATATGTTAGATTCCTCTAACTACAGGAAGGGAAATGGAAAGGAAGCAGACACTGAAACTCCAGTTTGCTTGGGAGGTGACAGATGTCTGAGTCTTGACAGAATTCTAGACTTGTAAGGATTCATTATTTTCGACTTCATTCATATATGTTCGATTGTCACTCTCCATGTTACCATGATGTCTTCCTTCTACTGAAACTGATTTCTTCCCTCCCTCCCTCCCTCCCTCCCTTCCTCCCTTCCTTTATTTATGCCAGGCCTGGGGCTTGAACTCAGAGCCGGGGTGCTGTCCCTGAGCTTTTTCACTCAAGGCCAGCACTCTACCACTTGAACCACAGCATCATTTCCAGCTTTTTGGGTGGTTCATTGTTTTTTTGTTGTTGTTTTGTTTTTTGGGGGTGTTTTTTTTTTTTTTTTGGGTCCGGTCGTGGGGCCTGAACTCTGGGCCTGGGCGCTGTCCCTCAGCTCTTCAGCTCAAGGCTAGCATTCTACCACTTGAGCCACAGCGCCACTTCTGGCTTTTTTCTTTTTTTTTATGTGGTGCTGAGGAATTGAACCCAGGGCCTCATGCATGCAAGGCAAGCGCTCTACCACTGAGCCACCTTCCCAGCCCCTGGGTGGTTCATTGGAGATAAGAGTCTCACATACTTTCCAGACCCAGCTGGCTTCAAACTACAATCCTCAGATCTCAGCCTCCTGAGGAGCTAGGATGACAGGTGTGAGCCTTTTTTTTTTTTTTTTTTTTACAGGATTGATTTTTCTCTCCCTGGATGGCATTTTATGAGGGTTTTAGATACTGCCCAACTAAAGTCTGTGTTAGGGACCGAGAAAAGCTGAATGTGCATGACTCTGTATGAAGAATCCATCCTCACCCCTCTCTCGCACAGCCTTCCCTTTTCCAGATTGTCTCCCGCCCCCTAGGCACCCAGCCGGCAGGAGATTCTAGTCTTCTAGAATACTGAAAGTTGCTGCTCCAAGTATTCACCGACAGGCAGAGCATCTGAAGAGTTCATTTCCTGTGATTTCAGGAGAATGACTCAGATATTTGCATATTTTCATCGAGAAAGTGATGATCCAGTAAACTTAGTGTACAAAGCCTTTTGGTGTCCCTCCTTCCCTATCTCCAGTCTTCCTAATGCCCCTCCTCTCCCCCCACACCCACAGTCTTCCCCAGCTGGAGTCAGTTCATCTCCAGGACTGTGCAATGTTTGCATGGTTTGAAGAATACTTGCAGCATCACAGAGGCTCTCACTGAAATGAGATTTCCTCATTCCCCACTCAGGAAGATCGAGTTTAGAAAAGGAGATAAAAAACGTTACAAACGACTCAGGAGACTGAGATCTGAGGATCATGATTTGAAGCCAGCCTAGGTAGCAAAGTCAGTGAGACTGATGTCCATTTAATTACAGAAAAAACAGGAAGTGAAGCTGTAGCTCAAGTGGTAAAGCGTGACCCTTGAACAAAAGGAGCTCAGAGACAGCACCTAGGCCCAGGGTAAAAGTCCTAGGACTGGCAAAGAAGAAGGAGGAGGAGGAGGAGAAGGAAGAGGAGAAGGAGGAGTAAAATAAGGGGAGGAGGACCAGGTAGAGGTAGAGGTGGAGCAGGGACGAAGAGGAGGAGGAGAAATATTCACAAAAGATAGAGACTCTCTGGGTGCCGGTAGCTCACGTCTGTAATCCTAGCTACTCAGGAGAACTGA